ATTCTTCTCTTTAGCTAGAGACTCTGGATCTCTCACATTTGTCTCTTTTAAAGCTTTAGAAGAGATCTCTGCAACATTACACATTGTGCTCAGATTTTTCTCCTACACTAAAGACTTGGTAGCTCTCACATTTGTCTTCTCTAAATTTCAGAAGTGATCTCAATAACTTTACAAAGTGTGCACCAAGTCAAATGCCTCAATATGAGCTCAAACATGTCTACCATATAATATGTATTAATAATCAAATTAGTCAATTAATAATCAAGACTGAGTCATAAGCCATTTATGTGCCTTTCAGCAAAGAAAGCTCCAGGGTTACATTTTCTGTAAATCAGTTTTGATTAAGGAATACGGTACATTACTATTTCCAACAACAAATTGTGTGCCTAAGTACATAAACAGTGTCCTATAAAAAGTGGCAGGAGACTCAAGAAAAAAATCTAAATTCAATCTTAAAGTAAACTAATTTCTGTCTAGGAGAAATATTTGAGATGTTAAAGAGTTCTCACTTTTGATTTTTCTTTCCTATGGGTATATACAGTAGTATATTTAAAACTCATTTACAAAACTGCATTTACATTCTTAACAGAAACTTAAGGAGCACCTGGTACACATAACACAAAATTACTTTCAAATGTATTGTTATTGTATTTAATTCAATATAGTGCTCCATACTATTTTAAAATCCTTCAAACACATAATTTATATATCATGTATAAATTGCTATTTTAAATGTCTGGTTATGTCCAGCAATAATACTTAAAGGTTTGTGTTTTTCTATATTGCCTCCGGCCTTTTTATTACCAACAGTAACTAAGCCTTGACATAATGACACAAGAACTTTGTGCTTTCGCTTTCTTGGCAGAATTTAAAAGAGAAAAATGTGTTAAAATCATCATTAAGCACGTCATTCTGGACGATGGACACAATGTGACATTCTGTCTGTGTAAATATGGTTTAATAAATGAATTAACTCCATAAATAATGGCTGTAATGACATTTTAGGGAACAATGAGTCTGAGCATTGTCAGGAAATAGTTGATGTATGAGTTTCATGCCTCAGCGGTTCCTCAAAATGAATCGGCACAGGAAGATAGCTAGGGCCTTGCAACTAGCCCATTTCCCAGAATTATCTACTTGTTGTCAATTTGCACAGTGGAATTACACATGCAAATTGCACTGCCTGCACAAACACCACTTGGAGATGATAAAAACAAATTAACAAAGGCTATAGAAGAAGGATTTATTTCACTGGCTCACCCAGGTCAAGCAATACATGTATTTGACGATTGTGTGTACCCAATTTTGATGTAATTATATCTGCAAATTATTCTTTGTAATCTTTTTTTTTTTTCCTTCAACCTTCTTCTTAAACTCATAATTAGCTTCCCTCGCTTCTCTCTCAAAAACAATTCAGCTGGCTGCCCTGTCAGGCTAACAGTAAATAATCTCATCTGGCTGTCACCCTTCTCTTCTTTTTCCCTCGTGCTGCAGCATCGTCCGTTATTTTTAACACTGGCTTGAACACTGTACACATGGAGGCTAAAAGTCAAGGGTCATTAAATACGAGAGCACACAATCGGGCCAAATGCACAGGAAAACAAGCACATAGCTGGTCCAGAAGTCAAGCTATACATAATCACCTGCTTAACATGGTTTCTCATATTCGGAGCTAAATGAGGAATCCCTGGACCTCCGTGTTGGCTAGTATTAGATATCTCATTTACTTTGTACACACACAGCTAATCTGCTCTAATGAATTCTGCCACCCCAAGCCAGATCCAGATGACTTAAAATTATTATTACTCTTTCCTCAGACATGTGCTTGCTCATTTGAGGTTCAACTTGGCTGGCTTGGGGGGAAAAACAGCCTGTCACAGTAAGATACTAATAATTAAGGCTTTGAGATGATTAGTTTATCTCACCACACTTACCACCTCTTTTCCGCTTTAACCAAAACTAATAAGGGTTTCCAATTTTTAAACAACAAACTCTAAATATATAATAAATGACAGAAATAATGATCTGGAGCCCAAACCGAACAAAAGCGCCAGTGTAAGAGAAGCATGAAAAAAAAGAGTAATCATAATAATTTTAACACTAGTAACTCAGTGATATATTACGCCACCAAATTACCTTTAAAAGTTCTAGTTGCCTTTGACATTGAGTTGTCACATATATAATTAAATTGGTATTAACTGTGGGGCGGGTGGTATCAGTTTGCAATGGAGAGGATATGGGCTATGTAGAGTGACGTTTAATATATCTTGCTGACTTAAGCTCTATCGTGTCATATTAACTTAAAGTTCTTGATGTTGGATGGAATTGATGTTTTTAAGGACATGCAGTAACCAACAAATACAACATATATTAACCCTGTAAAGCCTACAGTATCATATCTGATTCATGAATTTCTTAGACCTCTAAATTATCAAAATGATGAAAACTTTGCTGGAAAAAAAACATTGCAAACAATCTACATGTCTTCTGACATTTGATTGATAGTGTATACTTCTTTAGCAAGTAAAAGCCGTTTTAGTATAATTCTAAAAATGACCACCCTTAGGTCATGGTACATTACTTTTTGCTGTGAAATCTTTATTGAACATTTACTGGACTAAAGCAACTTAGGTTTACTTAATTATCCATAAATCATCATTTCATTTTTAGAAAAATCATGTTAAAAGGTATAAAAATATGATACAACAGTCTTTTGAAGTTTATTTTTCCATCTCTCAGTCATCATTGTATTGCATATGTTTTGCACATCACAATTAAAACAGGAGAGTGTTAATCATAAAACTAAGTATCTACATTTAATCAACATATTTTTGGGAGATAGAGTGACAACTAATATTGAATGCATATTTTTATGAAAGTAGTCTGCTAAACTGTTATAAATATCTTATTGATTTATATTACAAACAATCAGAATTTCATCTTGGCCTTATAATCTGCACCATATTTTTGCTCAGTTTGGGCCTCTATGGAAATTGAGGTGTCTCCCCCCCCCATATAATTCACCATATAAGTACACAGGCATAAAAGGTCAATAAATACTTAAAGAAGGTCAAAGTTATCATAAACTCAACTTAAGGGGCAGTGAGCACAAATGAGGAGCATTCCTCATTCACTACAGGTTACAGAACATACTTGTAGAGACAAAGATAGAGAGTGTGGTGTTTTGCACATCACAATTAAAACAGGAGAGTGTTAATCATAAAACTAAGTATCTACATTTAATCAACATATTTTTGGGAGATAGAGTGACAACTAATATTGAATGCATATTTTTATGAAAGTAGTCTGCTAAACTGTTATATGTATCTTATTGATTTATATTACAAACAATCAGAATTTCATCTTGGCCTTATAATCTGCACCATATTTTTGCTCAGTTTGGGCCTCTATGGAAATTGAGGTGTCTCCCCCCCCCATATAATTCACCATATAAGTACACAGGCATAAAAGGTCAATAAATACTTAAAGAAGGTCAAAGTTATCATAAACTCAACTTAAGGGGCAGTGAGCACAAATGAGGAGCATTCCTCATTCACTACAGGTTACAGAACATACTTGTAGAGACAAAGATAGAGAGTGTGGAAGGGACAAATGAGAGAGAGAGAGAGAGAGAGAGAGAGAGAGAGAAGGAGAGCAAATGAGAAAGAGCAAGAGAGATAAATTGCTGGGCACATTCAAAACTAGTGGCACCCCCGCTGGAGGCATAACAAGCAGAAATTATATTGATGAAAATTTCTGACATTATGACAATACAAATTAGCTTGTTGCCTCAGAATCTGTGCACACTAAATAAATCATTTAAGTAAATAGGTGGTTTTGCAATTAGGCACAAAGCCCACTATTTAGCAACAAAACAGAAAACTGATGTTATTTGATATAAATAAGCAATTTAAGCATCAGTGTTTTTCGTCTGCCAATGCCACAGGCTAAACAAGATTAGCATGCTAATCATTTGAATGATAATGTGGTGATGCCCTCAGCTGTCTGAATAAATTGGGAGACGTTGCTCATATAAGAGCATTCTTATCACTCTGGAAAACATGAGCAATTGTGTTTTAGTTTGCCATTTGTAAAAAAGAAAAAAAAAAAGAATATATATATATATACTGTATATATGGCATACAAATATGTTTGAATAAGTTTACTCATTCCTACCTTAAAATGTGCTGCTATTGCATAGGGTGACCATACGTGCCATTTTCCCAGGACGCGTCCTGGCCAAGATTTCTATATTGCCTAAAATATCTAGGTTTTGGCTTTGTTTGCGTGTGCAGACCGATCGGTGTATGACATCAAAGTACCTCGAGAGCATTTTGAAAGCATAAGGAACCGTCTGTATGGTATTTTGATGTCATACACCGATCGGTCTGCACACGCAAACAAAGCCAAAACCTAGATATTTTAGGCAATATAGAAATCTTGGCCAGGACGCGTCCTGGGAAAATGGCACGTATGGTCACCCTACTATTGCATAAAGAGCTGGCCTATATTATTTGTTGTTATTTTTGGTTAAAGTGCCTGATTCAGGACAGTAGATGCATATTTATCTTTTCACAAATGAAAAAAAGTGTGTGGGCATACAGTCAGCTTTGGTTGTTAGGTTGTAACCAATTTATCACCAGAAATAACAAACCAAACATTATAGAGGAATAAATGTTAGACCAGTACTTCATATAATATATAATCTTCTTATTTAATAGATTTTTAAATTATAATTTGGCAAAAGACCGTGGTTAAAAATCACATTTATCCACCCACCATTTGTCTATTTAGATTAGATTTCAAATATATTATTATTATTATTATTCAGTTTTTATTATTATTATTATTATTCAGAGCTGGACAAATTGACGAATTGAACAGAAATACTAGCCGTGAACTATTATTTATTACACAGAACAGCAGCCGCCACTGTTTTGTGAAGTGGAGGATCACGTTTCATAATGAGATCAAAGTGACCAATCAGCGTCTCTGTTACAGCTGTTGCTCCTCCGCCGACCCAATAATGAAGCTCTATGTTCAAAATGCGGAAATACAGAAGGCAAAGGTAAGCCTCATGTTGTTGTTGTTGTAGTGCTTTGGTATTTTATGATATTGTTAAGTTAATCATCTGTCGCATTTTATAATATTTTTGCTTTAAACATAATCAGCGCCGGTTTTTTTTTTTTGGCAGAGGATAATGCGGACGTCTACAAAAGTCAGGTTTTTGATGATTTGACAAATGTAAAATGTACAGTGGACTCTTGCCGCCGGGTCTCACTGAATCTGACCTGAGCTCTGATGATGCTGATGAAGGGGAAGCAGCAGAAAACAGACAAGACGAGCAGCTCTCACGGCAGTCAGACACAGAGACACATTCAGCGTGTGCTCAGGTTGAATGTAATAACACAAAAACTGGTTTGCACAATGATGCATTTGGGGATGAGTGTCTTCCTGGAGTTTCCTTGGATAAGTGGCAAGTACGTGGATCTACTGTAGTTATGTATGCAGTATTGAGAGAGAGTGCAGATCTTGCAGTGATCAAATGATGTGTTATTGATCTAATTGGGCAGTAGACGGTTAAAATCACTATAGTATAAACAAAGCAAGTTGCAGTTGGTTCATTCAGAATTTATTTTAATATCATTGTTTAAAAGCATTGCTTTTGTAATTGTTGCAGAAGTTCAAAGAGCTCCAGAAAGCAAAAGATGATCAGAGAATGAAGGAACCACAAACAAAGCGGAAAAGGCGCCACAAGAAAGGTCATTATAACAAGTTTTCTTCTCATTACCTACCCATGCTCTTCTACTGTAGTATTTCTACTGATGTTAACAGTATCCTATTTATTCATTTTCATGCAAACATAATTCATGCAGCTTTGTTGATTTGTGTTTGAAAGGAATTTCTCTTGCAGTCACAATGCCAGGCACTTTGTTTTGGTTGTTGGGGTTAAACATGGGTGTCCAGTGGGATTTACTACAGTAGAACTAATATAAGCCACAGGCATCATTGTTTGAGGAGATGAATAACACAATTTCACTCTTTCTAATTTGCCGAAATTCTTGTACATAACTTTTTTTTATACGCAATGCATTAACATATTTTGTTTTTAAACAGCTGCACTGTCTGTTCTGGTTGGTGTTTAATATTTCTTATATGAGGTGGATTTCTCCATTGAAAGCCACAGCACAATGGAGTCAAGAGCTCTCTGTAATGCTGTAATTCAGGGATAGGGAGGGGAATGCTTGCAAATCAAATACACTGGACAGCTTCTGTAACAAATATGACATTAAGATTTTTCCCACTCAGATGCTGAAAGGGCATCACATGTTGTAGAACAGCATAAACAATATAACAAACAGCATATGCCTTTATTTGTCCTCTGTAAATGGACCACTTTTTAGTATTACCCACTCTTGAACCCAGCACAGTGATGTTTAATTATATCAGCCTCTTTGAGTTTCGCATTTTGTAAAAAATGTTGCAGTAGAATCTTTGTTTGTTTCATAGCACTTCCATATTGCATATAATTACAGACAAATTCTTAATTTAATGTTAATGGGGTGATTCTTCTGTTAGTGGCACTTGAGACGACTTGAAATCTTGAAAAATGAAACTTCTCAAACTGTATTTAAACAATCATCCCATGTTTGGATTTGGAATAAAGATCTGATCATGGCTTTGATTAACTTAATTTTGGAGTTAATGGATTTTGGATATTGACATGTGAGTGTAATGATATTTCCACTTTTTTTTTTTTTTTTTTAAATATTAGAGAATTTTAACAAAGTTCTCAAATACTGTTTGGTTTGGTAACAAACCTACTCTCAAGTCATGATAAAACATTTCTGATTTTCAAACATATGAACTGAAAACATGATTTGTATTTATTTAATTTTATTTATTTTTAAAGTGCATTGTAAGCCATTAAACCATTAAAAAGCTACTATAATGCATTTTATTATAATATAATATTTTCTTTAAATTTATATCAGGGGACAAGTGCCTTTAGTAGATGAATCTCCATTATGTCTTTGCTTTTAGTGTGTGCATATGACTGCATTGTGCTGGAACATAAACAGTGATTTACTTCCTTTGTCTGCATAAAAACATATTTGTAAACAGACATTTAATTTAAAAAAAAAATCACAGTATCAGCACTGGTTTTATGTCACTGTAGCTGTTAGCAGCAATAGATGTTTGTCTGTGGTGTCTGCACAGGTTTGCTTAGATATCGTTCAGCTCAGTTTCATTTAAAGCAATAATACATATTTTTTTTGCAGTATATGATTATGACCTGTACTTTGTGAGATGACAGCAAAATATGTAAGTGAATGAGGAATGATTCAAGAAAGCTGACTTTGTACATTGGCTCATAATTAAATTTCGTCATGCAGGAAGTTCATGATTAAATTTTCTATAAATAAGTCTCTTTTAGTGCAAAGCTTTGTAAACAGAACTAATTCATTTGTAACTTCAAGCCAATTTTGCAGTAATGCATTACTTATCATTCTGCAGCATTAACTTAAAACAGTTTTTGTCGTTATTTTAATTTGTAAATTGTCATGTAAGCAGAATGTTGGCAAATGTAATTTGTTTTAAGTAGGAACACGCTGCTAATTCAATTGTCCATATCGTTTAATGTTGAGCTCAAATAATTTTGCATTAGCAAGTTAAAATATTGGGTTATTGAGTTAAAATATTGTTTTGATTATATATATCCAGTTGTCCTGTTAAATTAGACAGCTCTGCTGCCCCATTTTCCCTCACTTTCAAAGGCTATATCTATTTTGGATTAAACATTATTAAAGGGCTGAGCATATGCTGTGAAAATAAATTTTAATAGAGTTGTGAGCGAGGCTGATTGGAACAGTCCCTCTGAAATGTTTACCCAAGCAGAATGAATATTATATGGCCATTTCTGAAATCACAGTATGGAATATACATTAGCTCAGGAATAAATTACATCAGGATGTTCATACATGTACGTATGTATTGTTGTTTTTTTTGTTTTGTTTTTGGACCATAAGAGCAACAAACGCGTCTAGAATTGGTGAAATTTGTAGAAAATGAGAATGTTGTGTCTTTGTTTTGGGATTTGTCTTATGAAGATCCATAGTAGCAGACAGAGAGCTCTGCTCCACCAGTCCTGCTGCTTTGATGGAAATATCTAATTAAAGACCAACATTTATGTTTGGTAACCTCCTGTGGCTAGACAGATTTTTTTGACTAATATTTAATCAACCAACGATTTTCATTTATGAGAGGAAATCTACATATTTGTTGTAATGGCAATCATATTAAAAAGAATGCCTGGGGGAGTTTTTAAGTTACTCTTTGATTTTTTTTTTCTCATCCATCTCTTTTTTTTATTTGAAAATCACTTCATTTTATTTTCCTCCTTCTCATCTTCAGTCAGGCCTGGAAAAGAGCATAGAGAGTGCCATTGCTGAAGGGGACTGTGGGAAGGCGGAAGAACTGAGTGACAGACTTGCTACTCGAGAGGTATGTTGCCCAGATAAGCCATCTCGGGGGGGGCGCTTCAACTGTGACAAATTGAGCTAATGGGTCTGTGGCCATTTTGCCTGCAAAGACACAGAGGCTACAAACACACACACACACACATCATTCGACTTGGGCAGAAAGTCTTGCAACCCTTTTACACTAAAGTTAATGGAAAGCCCTCCCCCAGTTTGAAGTACGGCAGTGTCTATAGAACTTTCGGTTCTGCCTTTTAATGAAGGCTACAATGCTTTCAACCTGAGTGCTAAAACATTTTCAAGGTGCCAGCTTTACACCTTTGAAGTGAGCTCATACCTAAATACAGTGCCTGCAGTTTTAAAAAGACACATTTTAGGAGTGTACGTAGGATCAAGCGCTTCGAAGCTAATTTGGCAGAAAATGTAACATTCGCACAGCTGTAATTGCAGTAAAAAGACATTCAACTTTCCTGAAGTTGGGGCAATCATAGCGGGCAATATTTTTAAGCCTCGCAACTTTGATTCAATGGAATCTAAAAAGCATTCCACTAAATTCCGGCCTAAGCTTTGATTTCAGTATTACTGCATGGAATTGATGTTCACTGTCAACCTTAAACAGTTTAGTACAGAAAAGGTTTGGGTGTGTGCTTCCAGTTCACTTACATATACATTTGGTGAAGTCGAAGCATTTTTAAAGAAAACATTATAATTTTTTTTTTTCAAATATTATGTATTTTTCATGATTTTTTTTTTTTTTGTTGCAAATATCATGTATATCACTCTGCCCCAAACTGAGTTTTTTTTACTACAGAAGTGGTCTGACAATAGAACAATTCTGCAAATACTAGAATTGTTGCAATTTCATTATGATATATTGCACAAAGCACTAATTAATCTTTGTTATTAACTTTATATTTATGATAAGGAAATGATTTGTAGGACTCATTCTCATTCCATTTTTGTGATAATTTTCTTTTACGGCTTATTGCCATACTGCAGCTGAAGCTATTCCTGTTTTTAAATGTGTTTTCAGTTTCCGCAGTAATTCATCTTCTATTAAGATTCATTTTATAGCTTTATTGTTGATAAAAGGTCATGCTTCTCCATCCATCTAATTGGGAGGAGCAGTGTTAATCGTGTTAACCTCAAATATTAGTTTCCTACGTAATCAATTACAGCTTCTGTTCCTCTTGGTGTAAATGTGAAAATTACACCATTTACTCCACACTAATGAAATCATATTGTGATGCTGTTGATTATTGACGTGAATCAGTTCAAAGCAAGGTGATAATCATGCTCCTAACAAGCGTAGCGCCATGGGAACAAACATTAAATAGCTTGATAATGCTAACAACAGGTCCTTGGTTTAGGCAATTTTCTTTTGAGAGTCTTTACGCAGTAATCCATACAGATGCCACTTAAGCTTATCTCTGGAGTATCTTTGTGGTTTTATCTTTTTCTTTCCCAGGTAGATGGAGACATAATAATCGTTTCTTTGGAAACCATTCTCGGAAACATTTCATCATTACATGGGCTTTATTGTGATGCCACACGTCTATATCAGCTCTCGCCTTTGTTCTTTTGTTTGGTTGAGAATGGCAGATTTAAGCATTCCTTCACAGAGAGTTTATCTAGACTTCAAAAGCAGGTAAAGAATTTCAGAGATGCCATCATGCTGTCTAAATGCTTGCAAATGACTGCACTGAAATGTTTAAGGTTAGTCCCTCTTATCAAATAACACTGCTGTTATTAGTTTGGCATGGCTTGCAGGTAAAAACACAAATACAAACTGCATGGCTTTTGTCTTTGTTTGACTTACCAGGACCATGTTGTCACAGAAAGCTTCTTACAGCATCAGTGGATTTGAGCAGACTTAGCAGTCTCGAATCTCTCGCACAGCCAGACAGCTAAAGTCTGCCTCTGACAGAACACTGGCAGTGGCTGTGCAGTAATGCCACTGCTAGCTGCTGTATTAGTTCTCCACTAAAAATTGTAAATTACAGTTTTCGCCAGGTAATGTACATTTGTCATCTTCTGGACATGTCCCTAATGCTCTATTGATTGATTTAGCGTCTCTCATGAAGATGTGGGTATTGAAAGTTTTTCCACCATTTATCCAAAGTTTCAGGGTAACATCATTCTAAGTTGTGCAATGATAGAACAGGAAGATCATTTCTGAAATGTGAAGGGTTTCAGATTTAGGTACACTAGTTGCACCATTTGTTATTGTAGCCATACATTATGGCTGAATGTATGTGCCACTGCAGCTACTTGTATACTAATATTTAAAAGTTTAGGATTGGTAAGATTTAAAAAAAAAAAATAATA